CAGACTCTTAATCTGGCTGTCGCGGGTTCGAGCCCCGCATCGGGCTTCACATTTTTGCAGATTGCAACTGCTATTTTTTACCTTTGTAAGGTTCATGATACGTGTTGTTTGTTCCTGAAGCACCATTCTCCAAAAGTCTTCAACTGTGTTTGCCATTGGACCCTGATTCATTGTAGATCTTTAGTGAAATTAATAATACCTGACAGGCTATATACGATCTCTCATGTCCATCAAACTTCACCCAATTAGCATGAATGTAATCGGTTTGGGGAGGAACATCGAAAGTCAACTTTATTCTTGATTCGTCAAAGCAGAAGATGTCCTGCTTGTTATAGAACACCGTACTGCTGAACGAGAGTTATACCTGATATCGGTTTTTAACCTTATTTGCATTCCAGGATTTGAAAGTCCGATTAGGAGTATATGGAGACAGTTCTGTTTTGAACAGATTTCTCATTCCGTTTATTCCTAGGAACTCAGTTAACATAAAACTGAGATTAAAACTTCAGAACCTTGATCCGTGATATTATTAACAAAATTCTGCAGCATTTGTTCGATTTGCTTTCCTCTCTCACTGTAATCAGATGAATGGAGTTTCAGTGCAGGAGCAACCTTTGTGGCTTCTGTTCAGCATTTGAGCATCTTTCTTTGCTAGCGCTTTTAGTACGTCCTTTCTAAACAGAATTGAGAGCCAGATATGCAATTATTTGAAAACCTTCCTGGATAGGGCTTCTCCATCAGTTACCTCTTCGTCAATTGTGACATCAGCATCAAACACCTTCGTTTTTGCTTTTTTTATAATTTTTTTCGTGTCCATAGTCTCGACCGTGATCGATAATAAAGTGATTGAAACGTAGATAAACGCGGGAATTAGCATAAACGTTACAGCTAAGTGAATATGCTAATTAGGTTCATTCCAGATTTCTCTATTTCCTCACGTAATCATAACATCCCAAACTTGAGAAATAAAGAGCGTGTAGAGAGAATTGGTTACTTCCTTGGTGTCATCTCTTTTTGTCTTATAAGGAGTTTTTACAATGGACAGTCAGTCCACTCAATTATATCCCAACGGAATGGGTGTTTAACGGTCACATATCATGATAGTCGTGCTGAATGTTCTACTCATGCGCATGATAATAACCACGTCAAAACGGTGGAGAATAGAAGAGAAGGTTAAGTTGATAATATGTCAGATTATCCTCCTCGCACATTTGCCTGAAGTGAGCGATGATAGTGAGAGCAACCGGTTTGTGTGCTCTCGGAGTAAAAAATGAAAATTTACTCCGACTACCTTTCATTATACTCATTTGGGAAGTATTGAAAGGGAATTCATTATACCTTTAAGGTAAATATAAGACTTCAATCGATTTTATATGAAAAGGCTTCTCCATTCATATTCGATTTCAGCAATTAGCTTGCAAGAGCTGTTGTATGTAACAACATCCGTTCATTTCCTTATGTATATAGGTTGTTTCCCAAGCTTCACCAGGTGGTAACAGAGTCTTCCCAAATATTACTTTTAATGTTTCTTTTCAATTTTTTCGGGAAAAATTGATTCCATTTCATCAACAATGCATGTCCTAGTGTGTGCACTCAAACATCATGACTAAACATGGAATAAATTGATTGAACAAATATACAAATTTTCTTTTCAAAACTCTCAATTTTTATCAAAATCATAGATGACGGGATAGATTTAGTGAGCAAATGAGTTGAGATATCAATGACAGTCTTCTATGGTAGGCAATTACCGGGGACTATTGATTGGTATTGACTGTTTAATGAAAACTACAGAGTATCAGCCATATTTTCTTTTTTTCAAAAATGTTATTTCGAAACGACAAACGAAATATGTCCGTCCCTTCTCGCTCCCGTCGAACCTTCTGTTCTCTCTGTCGGCTCTCCGCCCTCCATTTGCCTCCTTTCAAGCGACAGACCGATTGAGTCTCCAGCATTCAGGAGCCGAGGGAAAACTATGCTTTGCGGTAAGTTTGCCTAAAAGATTTCAATCTGAAACTGAAAGAAATTCATTTCTTTGTCTTTTTTCTTCAAAATTATTCCTTTAACACCTCATAAATACCATGAAGAATCTACGCGGTGAGTTATACTGCAACGAATTTCATGTAAATTATTCTTTCAACCGACAGATGAGGTTAAGTAAATGGGAGTGAGGCACTGTGTGGTTTGAGCTCTAATAATAATTCAATCGATTACACTAATATTGTTTCCAACTTCCGATATCAACTTCCTTTCTTACGTCTCACAATGCTTCTTTGCGTGTTTAGCTCATTCCCACATCTGCTATGATGGTACCAAGCGTTTCCTCTTTGTTTGTACCAAAAGTCTGACAAATCTCCTCGTTTTTCTCCTGATTTATTTGGGGGATACGTAGAATATCTTCAAACATGTTCTTCCTATTCACCACTTCATACTTTTTTTCTGATAAAGAATGCATCCTTTAGCATGATTCACATCCCACCTATGTTTGAGTTTTCAAACTTCCATTGGGAACAATTTTTTTTTGCTTTTTTCTACTTTTTGAATCTTCACTGACCAACGTTTCTCTGGACTACCGTAGTGTCCAAAAATGGGTTTTAATGTGAAATCGATTATGCCGCGCTTAGCATGCTAGGCTGCCACCAATGCCCGTTGGCTATTGATTTACAGTATCTCAAAAAAAAAGCTTTCACTTCTATGTATACTCATCTACACCCTCATTCCTTCCAATAAAGCTGAAAATAGAGTGACTTCTTCAACACTTTTATCCAAAGAATGAACGAAAACATTTATATCGAAATACTTATCAAATGTACAATTTCCAGGTTGTCTATCACCCCGAGCACCACCATCATTTGAAACTGAAAAGATGTTGGGTAGTTCAAACAGAACTAATGAACCACAATCCTTTCTAAACAAAACTGACAAAGTTTGTTCCATCACGTCTTCCAGTTATTTTATTGTATTTCAGAGTTCTCCTGCAGATTTGGTAGATTTAGAAGATATAGTTATAAGTTGGGCCAAGTTCATATTCAACGCTACAAAGTCACGCACAGATGCAAAAATCAAAAGCAAATACCTCTGCGTGAGTATATAAAACTATATATGTATCTTAGATTGTAAAACATAGTAGTAACGTGCAAAAGGGATAGAGAAGATTGCATTTGATTGCTATATTTCCCTAATATGTTTGCTTCTATTCTCTCTTCCTAATTTTGATGACCGTGTATAGGCTTCTGCTGGTCTTCCCTTTTGAACCAGAGGATGTGCTCAATTTCCGATAAATAATTGAGTGAAGGCTCTTCAGGCAGTTAGCCTATATCTCTGAGCAATGAAAGATATTACGTGGTTCATGGATTTGATTCAATCAACAGACGTAAAGAGAGAAAGATAGAGAATTATTAGAAGAAAATTAAATTGGATGAAAAAGAAAAATCATTAGGAGAGAGATGGAGAGAGATGGAAGAGATAGAAAGAGAAAATGAGAAAAAGAAGGCAAACGAATTGATATAATTAGCTGTTGTTATTTCATTTATGGCATTGATGAAAGAAATATTCATTCATTGATATTTAAAAGTTGGGATAGATTCAATTCATTTCAAATCATCTCTTTTCCATACCCCTAACCCCTTGAGAGTAATTGACCAAAGAAGCATCTTATCTGATGTCCATGTTCAAGCGATTTCATGAGGCAGCTATCCAAATGTTATGCTAATAAAGCATTCAAACGTCTTCGATCCTACAGTTAGATATTCATCATAAATCTTCAGTATAATATCAATTGGACAAAGTTGATGCAAGAATCGAAAGAACCACAGTACAACGAGAAAGGTCCACAGGTTACTGAAGGAGTGAGTTGTTTGTTATTTTTTCTCGTTATTAATTCTGATATAATTCTAGCCGAAGTCTGAGACAGTCTTGTTCAAAACTACATTCTCTAATACAACTCAGAGAGAACAGGAGTATTCGTTCAAAACAGAAAGATGTACAAGGTTTGTATGAAAGCTCGATATTTATAACATGTTCGGAGCTTTTAGAAGTGCTTCAACTGTCATAATCGAGAAAGGCGTTTGTCGCGGAGCGGAAGTGAATTTGAAATTGCAAACTCCTTGTGAAATTGTAGAAGCAAATGCTGGATTCCATCATGAAATCATGCTGAATCACATAGGTTTCGTTCAGACTGGAATAGAAAATTTCAAACCATAATCGTTCAGGAGAAAACACGCAAGAAGAGGAGTTGACGTGGGGAGTGGATTCTTCTGTAAAAGTTCCGGGGAACACAGAAACTGTAGCGGAGCTCGTAATAATGGAAGAAGAACATAAAAAGAGTTTCACGATTGAAAACCGTTTGAGTGGAAAAGTAGTTGTAACAGGTGATTCAAGATTAATTTTTATATAAACGGAACGCATGATGAGGACATATGACGTGACTTGCATATTTCGAAACAACCAATTGGTGTTATGCTAATACTAATTAGCATGAATTGCGTGTCAGAATATCTTTTGTTTCATTTTCATTTTGAATAACGGAAAGAGCGGTTGATCACAGTTGAGCAAAAGCTAAAAATGGTTTCTTTTCAGTTACGAATTTGAAAGAGAATAACAGTTTGGTGACGGTCTTAGAAGGAAACATAGCCGATATTCTACGACGTTTACCAGATTATTCAGCCAAAGGCTTTTCATTTGAAGGCAACGTATGTTTCTTTTTATAATATCTAACAATGAAATCCAATTCATTTAATTAAATCACAATGATATTTAGTAGCTCATCTCATATGTCAGTTAGATGTATAGATAGATACCAGATGTTCCACAATAATCTTTTTGCTTCGTTTTGTGAGAAGGCAAGAACGTAAAAGTTTTAAAATCATAAGTACAATGAGAAGTGGATTCATTCTTATTCATTAAATGAATAAACATTCTGTTTCGACCTCAACTCCTTCATCTCACTTGTCATTCAGATGGATTGTCACCGCCATATATGACCAACAATTTTTGGTATACTTTAACTAGTTTCCTAAGTGGCTGGCTTTCGATTTTGAGAATGACTTTGCGACTTCTAGATTTTCATTTTCATTCTTATGAATACAATACCGAACAATGAATGTGCCGATAGGTCGTTGCGAGCTAGTTGCCATACAATCCCTCTTTTCTCCTCATAGTTGGCCTTCTAAATTACAAATTAAAACCATCGAGGGTTTTTCAGTTTCATTTAGTTTTCAAAAAAAACCCAAAAATTTAGTTAACAAACTATTCATTGCACATCTTTAGGTCGCCAAGTTCGAAACCAAAGGAGTTTGCATCTTCCGTTATGGCATCGAGCAGAAAGTCAGGATCAACGAAACTCCTCTATAAATAAAGTATTATACAAGCTTTTAATAATTTTTCTTAATGGCTCAAAATAAAATTCCTAATATCATTTTCTTTGCAAAAAAAACACAACCGCTCACTTCATCTCACATAAACTGAAATGAAAGAGAAAACTGAAGAGATGACAGCGTGGTTTTAGCTTCTCAAAGAAAGGCACCACCTGCAAATCTTTTTTGTGGTCGAGCAAAAGGCATACACAATAATGAATTAAAACTTTATAAATGATAATCATTGTGATTAATCTACAGATTGATTTTGGCTGTTTCAAGGTTTAAGATTGAAAAGAGATGTTTCTTCAAGGTCTGCAAAGCAATTTTTCTGACAAGGAAGTTTGAGAATCAGCAAAAGCTGCAATACATCACAATAAACTTATAGTTTTCTTGATAATATTGATAATGCATAGCCATATACACACGGTACACAACGTTTCATTGAGATGATTTTGAGTTTTTTGTTGCGTATATCGATGAATGATCTTTGCATCAGAAGAAGAAGAAGAAGAAGAGTACGATGAAAGTGATATGGTTGAAATAAGATGAATAAGAGGTAGACTGAAGATGAAGACAAGAAGTTTAGATAATTACAGAACCTAAGGGAATACAAGTTAAGCTGGTATTATCATAGATTAGCTCTACTTATCAACACATTTCGGCAATTAGAGTCATATAATTGATTTGTGTCGGAAGATATAAAGAATATGGATAGAGAAAACGTAAAAAAGTCAAACAAAACTTTCTATGTTATTCAGTTTTTATCGAAAGGTGGTTAGAAACTTTTTGAGTTGTAGACGAAAAGTGTTGGGGTGGAAACTAACGAGGTGATTATATACAATAGTTAAAGATGAGAGTATCTGAAACAAAAGTATTTTTACTTTATAATTCAGTTTCGACTATGCGGTTTTTTGGATTGATTGTCGAGGTTACCCTAACACTATATAAGGATTGGTCAAGTCTGTTTGGGTAGCCAGTACTGAGTCTCTTCTCAGCAATGGAATCCGAACTCATCCATAGAATCAAAGCGTACCGCTTTGTCGCCTATTCCGCTGTTGCATTCTCTGTAGTAGCTGTTCTCTCAGTATGCATCACTCTCCCCATGGTTTACAACTATGTACATCATGTTAAGAGATCCATGCACAACGAGATTAACTTCTGCAAGGTAAAGCTTTTGAGTTGAATGTTTAATAATTTTCCAATTGCAGACTTCAGCTAAGGACATTTGGTCTGAAGTAAGCCATTTGAGAGCTGTCCCAACCGTCAACAGAACTGCTCGTCAAGCCTACGATTCATATGATAGCGGAGTTAACGGAGGAAACAACTATCAAGTTCGCGCAGGAGATTGCAATGCTTGCTGTCTCCCAGGACCAGCTGGACCAGCTGGAACTCCAGGAAAACCAGGAAACCCAGGAAGACCAGGAGCACCAGGAATGCCAGGAAACCCAGGAAAACCAAACACTCAACCATGCTCCTACGTTACTCCACCACCATGCCAACCATGCCCTGCCGGACCACCAGGACCAGCTGGACCACCAGGACCACCAGGAGACGCTGGAATGCCAGGACAACCAGGACAAGGTGGAGGATACGCCATGCCAGGATTACCAGGACCAAAGGGACCACCAGGACCTTCCGGAAACCCAGGAGCTCCAGGAGCCCCAGGACAACCAGGAAAGGATGCTCCAAACGAGTACCCAACTCCAGGAGAGCCAGGACCAGCTGGACCACAAGGACCACCAGGAACTCCAGGAACACCTGGACAACCAGGAACTGATGGACACCCAGGTTTGAGCTTCCACCCTAAAAAAAACTGACACTATATTTTCAGGACAACCAGGATCTAAGGGACCAAACGGACAACCAGGTCAACCTGGAGGCAATGGAAACCCAGGAGCTCCAGGACAACCAGGAACACCAGGACCAGCAGGAGAGAAGGGTATCTGCCCCAAGTACTGCGCTATCGACGGAGGAGTCTTCTTCGAGGACGGAACTCGCCGTTAAAAATTTCAAAGAACTATTTGAAATTTTCATATCACTTCAAAGAAATAAAGCTAGGAATCATTCACTTCCGTATATTAATTTTTCCAAAACCTTGTTTTGGCTGAGTTTCAGAATCGTGTTTGAACGACAAAATTTGAATTATATGTAATTGGGTTCATTGACTTTCAATCGGAGGTACTTATTTAGAAAAAAGGATTATATGAATAGATCAAGGTCGAGAAGTAGTTATAAAGGATTTTTCTTCTGAAGTTGCCCCCTCAATTCGCGGATACACAGTCCTCTCTTTATTAGGAAATTAGTGTTGAGAGACGTTAACATACTGAAGCCGGTTTAGAACCTCACGAAAAGCGCGTTAATCTTCCTCATAGCTTGCCATCCTCAGAAGACTAAGTAAAATCATCTTCCCTCTCTTTCTTTTCTTTCATCATTCGAATCTTTAATTCAGATAGACATTTCCCTCCAGTTTCTGTTCTAACTCATCTTCACAAAATCATCTTCTCAATGTTTTTTTCTGTCACCCAGAAAATCAGCTTGTCTTTGAAAGCCTTTACTTTCTGCTATTGCTAATATATCTGTCACCATTCGTCTTTTCCTCTTTCCACTTTTTAAAAAACAGGTTGTGGACTATGATCTCCCGGCGCGTGTCATATACTGTCTCCGGTTTATACGGCCTGGAACTTCAGAACTTTTCGTTTGAAACTAATTATTATATAATTATGATATAATTGCAGTTTTATCTATACATCTTCTGCTTCCATAAGAAAACCAATGAGCAAATCCAGTTCCTTCACAGCGTTTCCTCTTCCTCTGCTAAACACATAGGACAACCAAGTCAAAAGTGTCAAAATCTACATATCATACATTTTAAGAATTTTTTTATACGGGAAAACCACTTTTTAAACAATAATTGTACCTCATTATTCCGTGAAATAAGACTGGCTATGCTTGACCACAATGACCGACATGATGACGTCTAGTATTCGTCTCATCTAGAAACGGCCTTGCTACTTTCATTTCTCAGAGGCTATCGTACGATGTTTGAAAAATTGACATGTATAGCGAATAACCAGAAAAGATAGATAAAGATCGAAGCTTTTTATCTAACAAGCCGCCAACGACTCTTGCTGGCTAGCCTCAAATGAATGGCAGTGTAAGATTGATGACCTTGAATTATGTTCAATTAGGAGTTTTTTTCAAGTTCTAGCTGGAAGCGGGTTTTTTTAATGTTTCAGTATGTGTATTGTTCCGATTTAACAAATTGAACTTAAAGTTCGTCAAATTAGGATTCCAGCCCATCCCACTATTAATAGATTATCATTAATATGCAGGATAAAACAATAAAATAAAGAGTTTAGATGAAAGATTTTTATTTTGCTTTCGTTTGATGGTATTGTTAAAGCTATAGAGCTTAACGGCGTGTTCCGTCCTCGAAGAAGACTCCTCCGTCGATAGCGCAGTACTTGGGGCAGATACCCTTCTCTCCTGGTCCTCCTGGTGGTCCAGCTGGTCCTGAGGCTCCTGGGTTTCCGTCGGATCCTGGTTGACCAGGTTGTCCGTTTGGTCCCTTTGGTCCAGGTTGTCCTGAAAATATAATTAATTAGAAAAGGATGTATGAGGAAAATTTTTACCTGGGGCTCCGTCTTGTCCTGGGGCTCCTGGTTGTCCTGGTGGTCCTTGTGGTCCTGGGGCTCCTTGTGGTCCTGGCTCTCCTGGGAGGATTGGCTCGGATGGAGCGTCTTGTCCTGGTTGTCCTGGGGCTCCTGGAGCTCCTGGGTTTCCTGCTGGTCCTGGGGATCCCTTTGGTCCTGGGGCTCCTGGGGCAGCGTCTTGTCCTGGTTGTCCTGGGGCTCCTGGAACTCCAGCATCTCCTGGTTGTCCTGGTGGTCCTGGGGGTCCTGGTGGTCCAGCTGGGCATGGTTTGCATGGTGGTGGGGTGATTGGGTCACATGGTTGCTGAGGTGGACGTCCTGGGTTTCCTGGGAGTCCTGGAGCTCCTGGCTTTCCTGGTCTTCCTGGCTTTCCTGGAGTACCAGCTGGTCCAGCTGGTCCTGGAAGACAGCAAGCATCACATCCTCCAGCAGATCCGGATCCTCCGCTAACTCCGGCATCTCCGTATCCAGCTTGACGGGCGGTTCTGTTGCCAGTTGGCAAGTTCTTCAAATGGTTAACCTCGGACCAGATATCCTTAGCGGATCCCTTGCAGAAGTTGATCTCGTTGTGCATGGATCTCTTGACATGGTGTACATAGTTGTAAACCATGGGGAGAGTAACGCAGACAGAGAGGACTGCGACCACGGAGAAGGTCACAGCCGAATAGGCGACAAAGCGGTAAGCCTTAATGCGATGTTCAAGATCCATGTCTCAGGACACCTTGCTTTCTGATGTCAAATCAGCTCCTTATATAGCTGGGTTCTTCACCTTGAGGTGCCTCGTCACCGCCCAGACGCATCACAGCTTTTTACAGCTCCGCCCAGTTCGGGTCCTTTACCGCTGGCAATGCTGACGCAGAAAAAACTGGCTTTTGACTTGGTCTCTATGCAATTCCAATGATGTCTAGACGTGTTTCATTCGTTTGGGTTGGAGGCAATGGTTTTTTAGATCTTTTTGGAGATAAGTTAGGTTCGTAGACGCTAAGTGTTTCAAAAAGTAATTTTGTTATAGTAGAATGTAAAGTAGCCCGTGAAATCGAATTTTGTACTAAAATATTATTTGGGAAAACACCTTGGAATAGGAATTTATACTCTTAGTTCATACGTTGTTCAAAGTTCTAGTTAAATACATTTGCACAGTTCTAGGTTCATTGTTTTTCTCCTATTTCACCAACATAAAGGTTGGCGTGATCATATTCACGTGGGTTCACGTGAAGAATACATACACGCTACAGTCATTGCTGAGGAATTCAGACACAGAGCGGTTGTAATTAACTTTATTATTTCATTTTTTGTTTCAAAATCATTCATTTGTTAAGAATGAAGCACCGCAACAAGTTTCATTTGTTTTAAATTACAAAAAAGCATAGACGCCGTAAAGAGGAATTTACTGGGAAAGCTTTACTATAATGTTTACTTTCTTTTGTTTTTTCTTTAAATTCTTCACTTGAATCAGCTTCTTCACTTCATTTGAATTACTTTCTATATAGCGCTGCCACCATTTGAAACAAATAATCGTTTCAAGTACAAATGTCAATGGGTAAGTTGTTCATTTTCACAATCAGTTGTTGTTCTCATAGTTTCCTTCTCTCACATCGGAATTCGAGTCATGACGTGTGAATGTTTAAAAGAAAATAAAAAGAAGGTTCAAACCATCTTTTCATACTTTGTTTCTCTTCATTTCTTTCCATATTTCCATTCACTATGCGGAAGAGGAAAGAAAAAGATCTTTCCCTCTGACAAGGTCATCTCCCTAACTCATTAAGGATAAGAAGAAGAGAGTATTGGCAGATTCAGATGAATATAGAGATGTTAATTAATTGAAGGAATGAAAGAGAAAAAGTGATAAAAAGGAAAAAAAATTGAAGGTGAGAGATGGAGACGGAAGGAGAAAATAAAAACACGTATTCAATGACTAGATAAGGAAATGAAAAAATCAGTTTGATGCTTGTTCATCAAGCCCACCTGCTTGATTCCGCACAAGGTCTTCGTTCAGAAAGCGATTTCCAGCATTCTCAAAGTACGTTTTGAAGGAAAATATGATAACATTACAATCCCAATAAGTTCATTCACGCACATACACATATATTTATTATTAATTATCGAAAAACAAACCTTTAATGAACATCTGTTTAAGAAGCGTTTGTACAGAGTTTTAGCCAGTCCAAGTTCCAGTTATCGGCGTCTCTTATTTGTTTCAAAAGTTTTAAGTTTTTGTGATTGAATTTTATGCTTTCAATAAAATCTAATGGAATTTACAATGAGTTTATTGCAACCTTTGACAACTGTTTCAACTTAATAAACGATTGTATGATCTTCTGTTCGTATAAGATTCTTCTGATGTTCATAGCAGAACTCTCGTTCATCAGAGCCATCACTAATGGTCAATGTTATCTTCTTGTATAAGCTAATCACAACTTACTTGCAATCTTTCACATTATCGCAAACAAGCTTGGGTTGAAGACACTTGGAGAGATCCTGGCAAGCGAACCAATTCTGTGGACACTTGACTTGTGAAGAGAAGAATTTCTCAGAACTTTTTTTCTGCAATGTAACACAGTTTCAAAACTAAGAACGATGAATGTTCGTTCCTCTATTTGTCTGAGATTAATCTTATTTACACGAGGTATTAGACATGGTTGAAGCAAATAATTCTCATCATCATTACATTTATCGAACATGAATCCTTTTTTAATTTTTCTCCTCTTCATAACGCTATCAATCCAAAGCCCTGACGAATATCGTCTTATACAAGATCTGAAAGAAAACTATGACATCGTTGAACGCCCTGTCAGAAACCACACAGACAGTTTGCCAGTCAAAGTTGGGATTATCCTCCAGCAGATTGTAGATATCGTCAGTTCTCGAGATGTTACTCAAAGTTTAAAAAAAATTATTTAAGGACGAGCGGAACCAGGCAATGACTCTTGTGGTTTGGACTCAAATTACATGGAGAGATTACAAGCTAAATTGGAGGCCTTCGGAGTATGGCAATATCACGAGCGTTCAACTGCCAAAAGCTATGCTGTGGACCCCAGATATACTACTGTATAACAGGTTGGTAACGGATAGTTTGAAAGTAGAAACAAAAGCATTTAAGCGTAAATAGTAATTTTGACTCAACGTTCACAGTGAACTGCGTTACTTCTAACGAAGGAGAAGTTTTGATGGCTCCTCCTGGAATTGTTAAGATTTCATGTGATATGTCTATGACATGGTTTCCGTTCGATGAGCAGATATGCTTCATGAAGGTATATTACTCGAAGAAACATATTATTTCTCAAGATTGAACGGTTAAGTATGGTTCGTGGACTTATTCTGGTTCTTTTGTCGATTTGAATATTGATAATGCTAATGACGATGGAGTAGGAACAATCGATATGACTTATTATCTGGCAAACGAGGAATTCAATATAATGGGTAAGAAAAACGGAGGTGATCCTCATCAGTTTATGATTGATGCTTACATCTCAGAAACAATAGCGAAACGAACAATCAAGTTTATCAAAGGAGAGCCTCACATTGAGTTGTATTTCATGATTATATTGAAGAGAAGAAGCTTATACTATACACTGAATTGGATCATTCCGTCAATACTCATTTCAATGAGTAACATTCTTCAATTCATGATGCCAACAGCTGGAGGAGAGAAAGTTACTTTACGTATGTTTTTGACATCTGAATACAAGTTTTTTTACACAAAAAATATCCTTCAAAACCTCTAATACTGCTGTCAAACTTTGGAAAAGATCATAAAATTATAATTGTCGTTTCAGAAACAACAAACGTTCTTGCAACGCTAGTTTTCCTCACTCAGATCGCTAAGACAACCCCAGCCACTTCAGACTCTATTCCAGTTCTTTGTGAGGGAACTTTAAGAGAGAAATGACTGTTTTCTTTCATTTTCAGCTGCCTTTTTCTCAGCTTCCTTATGTATCATGGGTGCTTCCACTTGTG